TTACCTTAGAATGAGACGTTTGTATCCACTGTAGTTTCTAGTTGGAGGTTGTATACAATACACACAGATAACCAGATACAGTACAGATTTTGGTACCATGTTGACGATTTAAATACAGTACATACTGCAAAACTAGAGCCTACAGATGCAACAGACATATACCTTTAGCTGCATGATGGCTACAGTAAGCAACTGAAAAGAGGACTTTATATGTTCTACAAATACAAAACAGGAATATTGCTCCATAGCAATACTAGCGATCTAAAACTCTATGGTACCTTTAAAGGTGCAATGCAATGGAGTACATCACGAGAAAAGATTTGAATCAGTCAGAAAAATAAATCTTTTGGGGCAGATTATTAAAAATGATTATTTTCTAACCCAGTAATCGTATGGTGACCACTTGTGAGGGATCTGACCAACTGTGTCATTGTTTAAGACAAACTGGCCAAATTCTCTGATTCTCCAATGTGAATATCTTCTGCTTTCTTTAGTACTCTATGACAGTAAACTAAATATCTTTGGGTTGTGGACAAAACATGACATCTGAGGACGTCAGCTTGGGCTTTGGGAAACACTGATCAAAATTTTCTGACATTTTATGGACCAAAGAACTAATCGATGAATCTAGAAAAATTATCCATAGATTAATCAACAGTGACAAAAATCATTGTCACTCACAGGAGCTTGTTAATTGTAATTAAGCAGTGAAATTACTTTGTAACTTGGCACATAGAGCCATCAGTTATTTTTAATCAATAGAGACATTCAGAATTGAGGCTAGAAAGAGTGTGTGTGTGTGTTTGTGTGTGACATCCATTGTTGCCACCATACAGCCAGCCATTGTGGTGACTCTTGTAGTAAAAGCCTATTTCTACTGTGTGACAACAGCTCTTGTCGTCATTCTCAACTTTTCCCATGCCCCTGCTCTTCATCGCTCACTACAGCAGTAGTTAATTAAACTGGTAGTAATAGTGCATCGCATTAAATTGTCAACTGGTGGCTTTCCACAAAAAGTTCCATTACCAAGTTAAAAATATTAAAACCACATTCTTCCCCCTCAGTGGAACACCAAGAATGTGTTGTATGAGTATACAAATAATAAGTTTAACTACTGGACACAAAATGTCTCCTACTGTACTGCACTGAAAAGTTTACTCTGCGTTCTGGACGTTCCAAATCACACTTGTAAAGCCCCATCAGGAATGGATTCATGTCTCTAGGGTAGTGATTTTAACATTAGCTGCACTGGTCAGAGCGCACACATTTTTCACCCCCACCCCAGTAATACTGTAATTATAGCCACAATTACCTACTGTTCGGTGAACTGCCTGGTCCTCCTGTAATTTCAGTCGAGTCTGGAGTAATGTCCTTGTATTTTAAAGTGAACGTTTGAGTTTTCTTTCCATGTGAAGAGCTACTTGACCTACTTTTTTATAAGCCGTGTGAAATTTGACTTTTGTTTGAAAATGAAGGAATTCCGAAATGTTTCTGTTAATCTGAACCAACTTGTTCCCTCTTTCAACCAATGCGATCCTAGTGCTAGTTCTGGGGTGGCGCTAGTGCTGGTTCAGAGTTAGTTCAATTTGAAAACCTTCTAAGAACTGCTTTGCTTTTCCATGGGCTAGAAAGCTATCATAGAGCCACGTCAGCGTATACTGCCCTACAAAGGCTAACCGCAGTAACTCCGCTAACAATGAAAGTGAGATAAATGGCGACCTATAAATATACAAATGCAGATCCTGCACTTAGTCTTTGTAGTATCACATTTTTCCTAACAAGATCTAACACAAATTTTATTTCCCATTATAGTAAATCTGTATTTTTTATTGTTTGCATGTTTAAAAAGTTGAAATAGATGTGTTATTAAGAAAAAAATTAAGCAGTCCTCAAATATTATTTTGTGATCTTTTTGAGAACCAATACAATCACGTGATTTCATATAGGCACCATTAAAAGAACATGGAATTAGCTATTAGCAGTTCCTGTTTGTAGTGTACCTTTTTTCTGAAGTTCTGATGCATAAGCTTTCTACTGCTTACAGGGTGTCTGCAGGGTCTTAAAAAGTGTAAAATCCAATAATCTGAATTAAAATGTACTAAAGTGATTGGATTAACAAAGTTTACGTTACATGTTTAAAGTTGTTTTCAGTTTTTTTTTCAGTTTTTGGGAAATGTTTTTTTGATTATGCTGTAACAACTACAAAACTACAAACTACAAAACTTACATGGAACCAGTACCAATTTTTCTTCATATTTCTTCAAAGTACTTTTTTGCTGGTATGGATGCAAAATAGTGTAAGTCACGCTGAATGAGTTATGACTCTGAATAGGAGTGCGATTTCTGACTCAAATTTACCTCACACAGTATCTTTGCCTCACGTGTCTCCCTCTGCATTCATTTCAAACTCTCCGCTGCCCCCCTGGGGAGGCTTTTGGCTTTTTCTTGTCCTGCCAAACATCCATGTCAGACCACATTCTATAATTGGTGGTTAAAATGCCGTCTGGAATGATGAGATAAATTACAGTGGAACACGGTGAACATTTCATTCAAGGTGCACTTTTCACATTTATTACACAACATGTTTTTTAATGGTAGGGATCCCTCCTGGATATTTTTAATGTATATAAGTTCAGGGACTTTTGTCTCACTTGAGCTTTTATTTGACTTTCAGTTTTGATGATGGCAAATGTGATTATGTGAGTTAAAGTTCAACTCCAAATAGTTTGATAGTCATGCAACTGCTGAATAATACACTGATTCACTGTGTGCATTTGGAAACTGTACTGTATAACCTACTATACTGTATAATGCAGTTACATAACACACTAAAAAACTTCACTTTTAAACACAGCCTCGCAAATTATAACACCTTGGAGTTAAATATACTTAGATATAACAGGTGTAATTTTCATATTTCCAGTGACTTTTCCAGTACAGTTTTGTCCTGCTTCCAGTCTTTGTGCTCAGTCATGTTAAACGTGCCCCTAGCCTACAGTATCTCTTGGAAGTAAATCTACTCTCCGACTCTGAGCAGGACTAAAAAGTAGGGGTGTGAGAAACTATCGATACACTTGAGTATCACAGTATTTTGTTTTGTGATGTAGTATTGACTCTTCAACCCCTAGATAGAAGTGTTGTAAATGTAAACTGAGCGCTATGATGTTAGATGTTACATGTATTGTGATAAATGTGAATGCAGATCCAACTGTTCTGGTTCCATACAAAAATACATTGTGGTGCATAGGTGGCGTGTCATATGCTGCTTTGCTTACAGTATTGCAGTATATCACAATATATTGAATCGGAACCCATGTATCAGGATATGTATTCTTGCCAACACACATCCCTTTATTTTACTACACAGTCCACTTCTCTACTAACTAATTCCACTCATGGTGTAAAGAGGAAGTGGTCAAATCGACTCAATAAGTTTGCATTATGACAGAACTGCAGGCTTTCATACAGTAGTCATGACTCCAAGGTGCAACAGATGTTTTTCTGTTTTTCCTCTTTCACTTAGTCATTCTTTGTCATTCCATTTGCACTATAGACCTTTTTCACAGCAGCCATTCTGACATGAAATAGTAGGGTGAACAAAGGTGTTACCAATAATACTATTTAAAGGTCCAGTGTGTAACATTTAGGAGGATCTGTTGGCAGAAAGGGAATATAATATTCATAGCTATGTGTTCATTAGTGTATAATCACCTGAATAGGAACTGTTGTGTTTTCATTACCTTACAATGAACCGTGTTTATCTGCAGAGGGAGCGGGTCCTCTTCTATGCAGTCCGCCATGTTGAACCACCATGTTTCTAGTAACCCAGAACAGACAAAACAAACCAAACACTGGCATTTTTTGCAATTTTTTTGTCGATTCATTTGGAGTTTGGAAGCCTGTGTTTACTCTACTATTTTAAGTCAAAAGGGCTGCTTTAAAAAACGTCTATTGCCCTTAGGATAGTTGAAGACAGCCATGTGTTTCTTCTGATACACACGGCGCTACCAGCTGCTTCTTTTTTGGTGGAACTCACAAAGAAACGATCCTCTCCTTTCAAAACGATATCTGCAAAACAACAAGTTATAGTGCTCTCCAATCTGTTGTCACTTTTGCTGCTTATTTTTGGAGCCCGGCAATCCCAGTAAAATGCATTCCTTACTATTAGGATACTGTGTGTTTACGAGCAGAGGGAAATTGATTGAAAAACCTTTTATAAGCTTCTCCTCAGTGTGTGAAATTGCCGGATTGCATTTGAGTGATGCCCTAATGTGAGCTATTAAGGGGAAATGTAAACTCTCATTGGATGTTTATCCTCACTTTTCTGAGTTTATTAGAAAGTGAAAGGTGCTAAAGTATGTTTGTAACACTCATGAGGTCATTGGATTGGTGTGTGTGTGTGTGTGTGTGTGTGTGTATGTGTGTGTTAGTGTGTAAGAATGATGAAGTAGAAGAAATTGGTTTAAATTATGGTGAGTCTGTTGTTGAGTTGTTGACCAAGTTAGTTCCATGAAAATTATAGTAGTGCAGTCATTTCCAACCCCTCAAAATGTTTTTTTTACAAGGCCTTTATTGACAACCAGTCTTCATTTGACTTAATTACATGAGACTTAGCCATTAAATTAAATAGTAGTGCAAGCACATGTCACAGTACAAGTGTAGTCCTCATTAAGAATCTGTTGTTAGTGAGGTGCAGTGTGGCGACACTCAGTCTCTTTAAATGGGTCAAACACACTGGAATGCCAAGCCAAAATATTACAGGGTAGCTGTGTTTCCACAGGCAGAGCTGCCAGGCTGGATCAGGTGCCCTAGTTTTGAAAATTTTGGGTGAAGAGACAAGAGTGGCGTGATGCAAATAGTTAGAGACACAAGGTGAAACTAAGAGCTAAATTTGTTGGTGGATTTGATGCTGGGAGGGAATTCAGTCTGGGTAGGCTGTTTGAAATGTGCTCATTCACACATGATTGTGATGATTCACTTGCGACACAACTGACGCCACAACTATAGCTCACATCAGGGGAAAGTGTGAATGTGCCACTGGCCTAATTGTTACATCTTTAGAGCAGCCAGAATCTAAGCAGTATCAGCTCCTGATTCGTTGTTATGAAATCAAATCGGTGCACAAAGCAAGATTGTGAGAAATGGAATATAATATTCATAGGTATGTTTTCATTAGTCTATAATCACCTGGGAATAAGAATAGAATGAGACATTTTTATCTGCAGAGGGAGCAGGTCCTCTTCTACAGAGTCTGCCATGTTGAACCTCCATGTTTATACAGCAGCCCAGATGGGACAAACCAAACTAGATCTAGATAGAGCCTTTTGTGTTTTTCAATCATCATTTCGCAGCCACATAAGCTTTCTAACACTTGACCACTGAAG